ACTCACACCCGCTTCAGATAGGCGATGTCGTGCTCTACATTTGGCCTTCCTGCTCCTCAGTATTGCCGACGTCCCTGTATCCTCATCTGATTTGGAATCAACCGGTACGTGGATAAAAATATTGATTAACGCAGGTTGAGGTGCGTCCTATTGAAATAAACCCCACCAGTATTACAACCACGCGTGTCATCATCACCACAGTCATCATTAACTAGTGAAACCTCACCATCCCGCGAAGAAGTTTGGTGTAACCCTCCTTCTAATAGAGGAAAACCGACTATTGAGCTAGCCGAATAGTTAAAACAAACTGAAATCTCTCTGATTGTCTTCCGGCTGTCAGCCTCGCTTTCCACAGTCTACCATAACACACAAATATCGACCTGTTTTTCGTTGCCCAGTGACACCTGTGAGAAATCAAGTAATTACTTATTAGCTGTGTTGATTCGAGAGCTGTCAAGGAGCCGGTGTATTTCAAGAAAACGGCTTCGCCCTGGGACAGTCAATGGAACCTAAGGTAACCCAACGTAGAAGACTAGTCAGAATACGCAACCGATCAAGACGGTTGACTTTATCCAGTCAACCAATGGCGATTAGGCCACGCAACTCATTTGCAGCTCAGAGATTTGATTCAAGACAAGGATCTTTGTGTTAGGTGATAGGTGAATCCAACCTCAGCTAGCTCTCATCCCGGGCCGATTTTCAGAGGTTTTTATAATGTGTGGTATGAATAGTAGTAGTCGTATTAGTGTATGAATGACTGGACTGATAAACGTCAAGGACAGCGAAACCAGTCGTTTGCTTCCGGGAGCTTTTGCCCAATAATTCATATACTACTCTTTATTAAAACCAATAACCGTGCTTTTGCAACCACACGAATTCCCCTGCTCTCAACTAAATTACATTGCATCGGTGGCTCTCATCGTTTTGATCAAAAAGATGAATCGACAGTTGTGTGTTTACCCACCAAGACTCAATTCCTTCATGGAGACACGAAAGTATCCACTGCCAAAAGTGGAGGACCTGCCTGCGAAACTAAATCGTGTCATGTTTTGTGCACATCGGACGCGTACCAACGGACTGAGGTCTGGGACGCATCACGAGAGTTTTTGATGAATAAACTATTTCGCGCTGTTTCAGTTTACTCGCCTTCCATTGAGTGTGAAGTTTACTTATCTACTTATCTTCCAACAAATAATGAATAACATACTAACAGAAATTGAGAGAGCGGCTGCCCAAGTGGGATAACATCATTGTCACTAGCATTATTCCAGGTAACGTTTTCGAACGCGTGGAATATTTGTTTACACCACTCGAAGAATACGGATTTCGCTTCCCTACAGACAAATTTAAGTTCTTCATGCCTTTGGTTTGGCATCTGTGCATTATTGTGGTCCGGCACAATCGCCGACTCGATCAAAGCAAA